TTGTTCACTATATGCATTTCACTGGTAATTCAGATTATATGTGTGTGCATATATTTATATACGTAGTATTTGATTCCTCCCTCTCTCTCTCTCTCTCTCTCTCTCTATATATATATATATATATATATTCCCTGATTATGGTTGCATAATTAAAGTGAATTCCAGTTAAATGTGTCTACAATTTAGTGGGACTTCAATATCTCAACATTTTGATTCCTTTCAATATATATATATATATATATATATTTGATTTTTTTTTTTTTTAAAGCGATAGTCTCTGAAACCTTACGAAGCCCATTTAATTAAATAAAACAAATACATAAATTCTTCAGTTTAACATGTAATAATTTATTATCAAAATAACCCTTTAATTAGAGTACGTGATGAGCATAATCACAAACTGACTTTGAAGTACAAAGAATTATTACGTTAGACTACAGCCTTCGGACTTTGACTTAGGTACACTAGGATTGAGGACCTGAGATTCGTTTTGAGGTTCCATTTTCTGTTATATAAATAAACTATAAGCTACAAGTTTAATAATAATACTATTAACCTAAAAGAATTATAAAGCCAAAATAAAATTATAAACCAAAATCCTGTCCAAAGCGTACTTTTTTAAAATAAAAAATAAAAAAAGAACTTTTATGCACCGGTGATATTATGTAATACCTGCTAGCAATGAATTTTTGTTATTTTCTTTAATAATAGAAAATAATTATTAACAATTAGCTTTGATACTAAATTCTTATTGCTCTAGAGTATCAAATACTTTCTCGGTGTAACTAGTGGTGTATTTTATTATTATTTAAAAAAAAGAAAAAAAGAATTATAATCAATCTATCTTAAAATCTGCATCATCGTCAATAATTTTTTTTTTTTTTTTTTTTTTTCACAAAAGCAGCAATTATTTTGAGCGTATATAATCAAAATGAGTGTTAAGGAGTAACTCGTACCAGTTGAGACTCTTGAGAGTGAATTAAAGATGAGAGTGTGATTTGGCCCAAAAGCTGGAAGGGTTTGTTTGGTAAGGAGGAAAATTTTAATGAAAAAGCACTAGGATAAGTTGGAAAAAGAAAAGAAAAAAGCGAATTGGGGTTAATCTGAGTGGCATGATGGACACCTATACAAACAGAGACAAAAAGAAATGATGTCGTTTGCCACCCCCTATAATATATCCAACTTAGAGAGAGAAAGAGAAAGAGAGAGAATTTTAATTTTTTTTTATTCCTTGTGTCCCTATTAGCGATGCCCAACATCATTCCGCCAAAGTACGTAATAGGGTGACATCATGCGCACGTTAGTGCCTACGTCACAATTGGGTCTACTGGAGAGAGTAGAATTTCAATTATCAAGTTAGCTTGGTAATTAAACTTGAACATATATCTCCGATCAACACTAAAGCCATGAATTTCTGAATTAATACACACACACATATATATATTTAAAGTTCTATTGCGTAGCTCGAATTAATCACGGATAATATTAATCAAATTCAGCTGGTATAGTTAATTTTAAACTTTGACATCAAATTGACAAATCTTATATGGTAAATTTGCAAGCAATTAGTGAATCCTCCAAAGTCTTCGAACAATTTTAATTAAAAAAAAAAAAATTTGAAATAAAGTATCTCATTATTTTGGTAATTGTTTTGGCAACACATCATACGAACAAACTATTCATGACCACTCTCTTAATTTGCAACCTGCATATAATGTTATATTAGCTCTACTACTTGTTAGAACAGGCATATTTCTGTCAAAAATTAAAATTATGTATATAATTATCATAAGGGATTTTAATCTTATAAAAAAAAATAGAAAGTACCACCTAATAACTAAAAATTTTGAGTCAAATAATAAATATCTCACCCATTACAAACTTGATAATTTGAATTATGCTTCCTCTCTCGATTATTTTCGGTCATTATATATGCTTAGCTTTCCTCCAAAGACGTCCTTCACCTCCCGATCCATCCATATTGGAATGCAACTAGGAGCATTCGTAATGCAGCATTTTGTGGCGAGTGTTTGGCTCTGTAGCGAGCCCTTTGGCTACCCAGGAGCAAGCACCATAGGTTCCCATTTTAAAACCTCTAACATAAATGGCAAGGCAAGTAGCGAGGCAAACAATTATGACAATCACTCTCTGTATTTATAAATTGTGGAGAGCTTAGTAAGAGCAACATAATTAATACTCTATACACAGACTATTTTTATTTTTTATTTGACTGGTACCAGGTCCCTTCAGGACTCGCCTTAAACCATAAATTTGGGAATCAAGTCGACAACCCCACATCTCAGCACTAATTTCATTCAAGAAATATAATAAGAATGAACGAACTCGAACCTGTGACATATGACACCTCATACCGTTGCCTTACCAACTCTACCAAGCTCCCGGAGATTATACTGAGACCATTTGATCAATAATGAAGTGATAAAACTACCTCCGAGAACTTATGACATAAATTGGATTGCTATAATGAATAGCTAATTAATAAAATTAAGGGGCAATGGAAAAGATAAATTATTGTTAAATGAAAAAATGCTTCATCAAAGGCTAATGTTGTGCAATCAACGTACATGATGACAAAGCTATGGCCCACAAACAATTTTTGTTAAAAGAAGCTAACATTGATTAAATGTGTGTAATTGAAGAGATCATAACAATATTATAGGTTGGTTTGGAACTTGAGAAAAGTGGTGGGTAGATGTGGGGTTAGGAGGAGGAACTATAAAAAGCTTATATAAATAAGAGAGAGTGGAAAGATAAGAAGCTTTTTCTCTGAAAAGTCAAATAGGCCCTCTTTCATTAATCATAATCATATCTTCACCGTCGATTCGGAGGAATAGATTTGCACCTAAGATACATCATCATTGCTGCAGATATTTCTTTCAGGGTGCCCAAAAGAACCCTAGAAAATGACATTTCAAAAGAAACCCTATGAAATTTTACAAAAGAAACCCCAAAGAAATGTACACTATTCTCTGTCTTTTTTATAGACTCATTTGAAATTTCGAAAGCCTTTAGCAAAAATTTACCACTAAAAGACTATACTAGGGGAATATATTCCGCCTTTTAATGTAAAAGGTTGAAGTTAACTACGAATATTTAAGTATGTGAGTTACTTGTTAAAGATTAATAATTAGAAAAAGTTTAATTTTTTGAAAATAATTTGAAACATTATTTAATTATACAAAATTTAAAGGAAACTATTCCATTCAGACAAGTTTAAAGAAACTCCAAATGCAAATAACACACTTTAGATTTTATGTTCTCAAAATTTTTAATTTTTAATTTTTTTTTTTAAATTCTGTTTGATTGATAGTTTTTAAAATTTTTATAAGAGAATAATGCTACTATGGCGAAGTATTTAAGGGAATCCTTCCGATAAACCACTTGCATCTATAAGAAGCATGTGGTGGGTGTAAGTTGCGCAGTGCAGAATCAATCTATTACGGAGGCCTTGCCGTCTATGGCGAAATCAGTCAATTATGTTGAAGCAAAAGTACAAACTTTGACTCACACTCGTTCCATTCTACCAAGAACGAGTTGTTGAACACTTTTAGCTTTGTGACTCTTTGTCCAAACACGTACTTTTGACTTCAAGCTTATTTCTTAATCCTTGTAGACGAGTTGCTAGAAGAATACGAACACTCCTCGAATGATCTATTCCATTCGTAGTGATTGGTTCACCTTACATTCAATAATATGAAGAATTATGAAGGAATTCTGCTAGTTTGGTCGAATTGAGTAAATCGATGTAGACCATTACTATGTGTTGAAATGTGTGTTCTCAAAAAGATAAAACAGATTTTACGATATGGGGATTTGGAGTACAAGTGGATCGGTACCATATTGGATTAGGTCAAGTGTGACCGGTCCAAGAAAAAGCGACCGGTCGGAGTTTGGCAGAATAGAAATTTTATAAAAAATTCTAACCGGGCCTATGTCTATAACCTAACTCGATGAATTGCTAAGTGTTTTCACACACACACCTTCACTGAATGATATTCTCTTCAAATCGAAGTATGCTTGTACATTATTTGCACTTGTTGTTATGCTTCTAATATCGAAACTTAAGTATAAACCGAAAATTACAACTCAATCAGTTATGTTTTCACATCGAAATAGCTAATACAAAAATATGTATCTCGTGGTGAGACCTAAAGAGCGTATCCCACCACATGCTTCCTATGGTCCACCAAAGTCTTAAGTTGATTTCAACCTAACTATGCTTAGTCTTTCTAAATACTATAGTTAGAATTTTTTAAAATTTTTTGGAGAAATATCTTTTATAGTTGTTGAAAATAGTTTTCTTTTTTTTAATTTCTTGAGAATTGTTTTTAGTTTTCATCCACTATTTTAACATTAATTTATGTTCTAAAAGAATTAAAAATCAAAAACTATTTTAAAAATTCATTTTGTTAACAATTTCTGAAGCCTATGTTAATGGAGACATATTCTTATAGTTTCCTGTTTATAGAATTTTATAAAATTGTTTTTGGATAACTCTATATAGTAAACGCTCTTTATTCTTGACCTATTGTGCAGTACTCGTCTGTTTTTCCTTCACTTTAACCCTTTAGTGTCACAAATCCCTGCACAGGAATTTCAATTCAACCCCAGTGCCACAGTAAAAAGAAATGTGGACAAACGTACACATGCATACAACAAACAAAGTGAAATTAAACAATCCACTTCCTTCAATTAAAATTCTTTTTTTTTTTTTGTGTGTATGGTTTTGACCTTATGAGACATGGAGGTTCCATGCTTTTGAGGTCAAATAGCAACGTCTGGCACACCACATTCTTCTGTAACCATTGACTTCATAAAAAAAATAAAAATAAAGTCCTTTGTGGGAAGTAGTTGTCTCTTCTACTCCCAGTACATTTTGGTAAAATGAGATGAAACTACAAAAAAAGTCTGTCTGTGTGTAAGAAGAGAGAGAGAGAGAGAGAGAGAGAGAGAGAGAGAAGGGAAAGTGGGTATTACTATATACTATTATATATATGTTATAGGCACAGGGTTACTTTCATATTTTTTTGTTCAACATCTGAAAATTTGAGAGAGCCATCTTTGTTCTTTTAACCTAGACCACTTATAGACAATCAGAGATCATCCTTTCCCAAAGAGAGAGAAAAAAAATTCCAACTTTATTTTTTCTTTCTCTTTTTATATAAACCAAGCAGTTAACTTGTTTCTGATCTTCTGAATCATTTTCTTAGAAGAGAGAGAGAGAGATCCCAAGTACTCTCAGGCTGCCATGCTTAACCAGGGAGTTTTTGAGGATCAAGAGATGTCCACACAAGTGGGTTTCTTTTCTTTTCCTACAAACATGACCATACCTTCATTTGGGTGCAATCCATCTCTAAAAACCCTAGCAACCATGCCTCCAGTTTCAGCAGATCATGCATCCACTGAAACCCTCCTCATCTCTTCTGCAACTCCAAAGCAAAAAGAAGACTTCACCTCTCATTTATTAGGAGGTCCTCAACTTCTTTCCTTGCATAGACCAACTGCAAATCTCAGCTGGTAATTAAATAGTTCCTTTAATATTATTATTTTTCATGCACACACAAACAAACACACACACACACACACAGAGGATATATTGTGATTAATTCAAATATGGTGTTTGAATATATTGGTTTCAGGGCATGGGGAGAGTTGAATGATTGCATGAGCAATAAGAGGAGTAGTGGTTGTGGTGGAGATGATCATCATCTTGGAGTTTCATCATTAAAGATGAAGAAGATGAAAGCAAGAAGGAAGGTTAGGGAGCCTAGGTTTTGCTTCAAGACCATGAGTGATGTGGATGTGTTGGATGATGGTTACAAGTGGAGGAAATATGGTCAGAAAGTTGTCAAGAACACCCAGCATCCCAGGTACTTAATTAATTACAGATTCTTTTTTATTGCTACCTCTAATTAAATGTCAATATATATATATATATATATTGCATTGAACTTGAGCTTAGTAGTTAGTTCATGCTACCCCATTCACCCTCTCTCTCTCTAGGTATCTCATTAGTGCTGTTGTTATCATTGTTAATATTGGGCCTTAAGGGCTTCGGGAAGGAGATATATATATATATATATATATATATATATATATATATATATATATATATATATTATGGGCAAATCAATGGATATGGATACAAGTTAGTTTTAAGAGAATGGCTAAATGAACTAATAATTGGTCTTAAAGGGCTTGCAATCCAAATGAGTGATCAACAATGTGCAAAAAAGATTACCAATTACTACAATGTAATTAAGTGAGAAAAAAAGATTAATCATTAATTAATCAGCTTGGAGGACCGGAATGCATAATTGCCTCTGTGTGTGTGTGTGTGTGTGTGTGTGCCCACATTTTAGGTGCAGTGCTAGGGAATAATGGACATATGATCATGGGGTTCTATGCAGTGAGACTCAATGGAAAATAAGTAAAGAATGAAATGATCACCACAATATATATGAGGACCAAAAGCAATGAGAGGCCTTAATTCCACAATGTGGCAATCACAAATTCACAATAAATGTTGAATATGATACAAAGTGTTGATTAATCTGTTTCGAGAGATAAACAGTAAATTATATTTATGAGGCAAAAAAAAAAAAAACAATTGTTTATACGATGAAGATCTAAACAAATGTCCGTAGCAAATTTTATTTATTTATTTATTTTAATAGGTAAGAAAGCAATACAGTTATACAGACATCCTTTTTGTCCCATATCAGGCTTGAATCCTTGACCTCCACCACCCAAACCAAGAGTCCTGTGGCTAATATGTGTGTGTGTATATATATTAATGTTGTTATTATATATTACAAATTTACAGTACTGCTAGCTCAAATTTCAAAATGCCTAAGGGAAAAGAGAAGTTTGAGAGTAGAGAAAATGTGTGTGTGTGTGTGAATATAGTGTTTGGTAATTGGGAAATAAATCATTATCACTTCTGGATTCCATGAGGATCTCTTTACATGATATTGCTTTAGCTGTAAAAGCAACCAAACTTTTATTGTTTCATGATTAGTACAAGTTATATATCCCCCTTTTCAGGAGCTATATATGCTCTTATTCACTAGCTAAGTGCAGACTTTCTCACAAGCAACAAGCTAAATTGAGCCCACTCTCCGGAAAAAGCCATTCTTACCAATGATGATTCTGGCCGTTGAGACAATATATTTTCATGATTTACCACTTTTCTTGTGGACCCTCGATTAAATTCATTTGCCCAAACGTTTTCCTAAATCGCATTTGCCCCTAGCTAAAACTGTATTACCCCCCTCTACTATTCATTACTAAACATTTAAGCGCCAAAAGGGAATTTAGTGGCATTGCACGGGTTCAATCTTTCCGCAAGCAGAGGTAATTTTTTTAAAGTCTCGGCATTATGCGACTAAAGACTAGATCTCTGATCTCTCCTGTTCCCTTGCATGTAATTTTCTTTTCTTTTTTTAAAGTTAAAACAATTCACTTACGCACCCTGTCTCCATTGAGGCTCGAACCCCAAAAGATAAGGGTCTGATACCGCTGAGCGGTTGGGGTCACGCAGGTCTTCTTTGCATTCTCTGGATAACTAGTTTTTTTCTTTGGATAACTAATTGGTTCTCATGACTCAAGATACTTGAGTGATTATAAAAATAAAAAAATAAAAAAAAAAGCCATTAATTTTCTCTATTAAATTTAAGTTCAGCTTGATCATTTTTTGTCACTTCATAAGTGGATTCACTTGGCATGATTTGGTAAAAGTACTTTTGGAAATTTTTTGAAATATATATGTTGTGACATATTTGATGATTTGTGAGGAGCGTAATGCCATAATTAACCTGCTGCATTGATCACGTAGATCCTCAAACGAACAGTTGCCTTTGGAATTGCAAGTCGGATCCCTTCAAGAAAAAAAGTTAAAATTATGTATGATTCTCTCAGTTGAAGGTTATACAACATGATTGCTACCACATTCAATATTTTGCAGTGATATAATATATATATATATATATATATATATATATATATATAAGATCAATGCACACACACATATAGAGAGAGAGATAGCATGCATGCTGGTATAATGCTGTATGCATGAGGGGTCACACTGATTTTACTATGATGAAATTTCATTTCCTTTTATGTTTTGATAGCTTTTATTCTTTGTTTTTTGTAATGATTAACTTCTTCTGAAGTTTATTGCATGCATGACCACTTGACCAGGGCACAGTTACTTCATGTAGTAATTATTAATTTCTTATTTAGATCATGATCTTGTGTAACATAAAGTCATATGAATATATAACTAGATTACATATAGGAAACTATATTGCAACATTTCTTTCAAGTTCTAAGCATCCAAGTTCAAGTCTCTTAAAAAAATAATAATAATAAAGAAAATGAACTAAGGAAGTGTATGCTGGTTTCAAAAATATATATGTAGGTGCAAAACTTGCTGATATATATGACTTCCTATGGTATCAAGCTTTGCATTGTCTCTAATATAGCTTATAGAATTTACTTTGGCGCGAGACATTTCAATACAAATATTCATTCTTGCCCACCATGGTCAACATGCATGCATGCACACAGCTTCTGAATTAAGCTATCACATTAATTTATCTGTAAAATGAATGTATACATGCAGGAGCTATTATCGTTGTACACAAGATAACTGTCGCGTAAAGAAAAGAGTGGAGCGATTAGCAGAGGATCCGAGAATGGTGATCACAACCTATGAGGGAAGACATGTACATTCTCCCTCACACGACGAAGATGATAGTCAAGCTCCATCACAACTCAACAATTTCTTTTGGTAGTGTCTTTAAAACCTCCATCAATCATCATGGTGATGATGAACTGAGTTGTTGAACTAGCTTCTACTGTTTGGGAATTTGAGAATAAGAGTGCAATACTGATGTGTGTAAAATTTATATATATATATATATATATATATATATATATGCCCTTACTTTGATTTCTTGGTCCTCTTGCTGTAATGTTTGGTAAATAAAACCTTACTTTACAATCAGGTTCAAACAAATGCTGTAAAATCCTTTTTTTAATGCATTTAAATCAATTGAAATGATGTTGAAAAGAGATTTCAACGCAGTCTATTTAAATTTAGAACAAATTAATGTGTTTGAAAAATTTTACAGTACCCTTGGCAGAACAAACATATATGATGAGTATGCAAATTATCCATCTGTCCAAAAAACGAGTAAAATTTTCAACTTTTTAAAGAAAGAAGAATTTAATGTTTTAGCCCTTAAATGAAAATATAACATTCTCTAAACTAACCCTTATTCAGTATTTGTTAATATGAACATTAAAATATTCAAGAGAAAGGTAATTTGAAATTAGATAACTGTTAATAACATTTTTTTTAAAAGTTAAAATATGTGTTGCAGCATCACAAAAAGAATTAAGTTAAACCATTTTTGGAGAAAGAAGAAGCATGATACAAAATTCAAAACACAAAAATATAATATTCATTTGAATTTAATTCAATGTATTTGTGTGGGTGTGGGTGTGGGTGTGGGTGTTTATATATATATATATCCCACAGGACCCGCATATCAAATATCCAAAAAAAAATGAAAAATTATGTCTAATCATTATGTAGTGTCGGAATACCTAAATAAAAAGGCAGGAATGCTGAGTAAGGCCCATCCTTAAGACAAACACCAAAACGTAAAAGATGTTCCAGCTAATTGATTGGGCCTTGAAGGCCCATATGGGTGTCTCTATAATAATGTTTTCACTATGGGCTTGGTAAATTAAGAATATGGGCTGGGTCAATCTTTCTTCACAATGGAATCCCAAAAAATGTCGCCCTAGACAATAGGCCCAAAATGGCTACAGACCCACTTAAATTTCACCCTTTTCATTCCAATGGACCAGGAAATTCGCACAACTACAATTGTTCTGTTTAGCCCTAATATCATTATTTAGGTTTATTTTATGAGATAAAAAGTCAAAGATTGTTGGGGATCGCATTTTAAGAAAACATATGCACGTGAAGGCTACTAATTTCTACGCTTTAGGTATTTTAGTAGAATGCCAGTACTGTGTGTAGATAGAATATAATTTAGGTTAAGTTAATCACATCCTTCCAAAAATAATCACTTGGATTAAAAATTAAATTATGATAAATAACGTAAAAAGACGGGTCAAAGTCGTAAAACAGCAGCTAATAAGACTAAAATTACTATTCATGCACTCCCACCCAAGGGGGCACCACGTGGGACCTCGTGACCCGCGCGTTCAAACCCTTATTTCAAGGACTACCCTCACTTAAGACCATAATTAGGTGTAACTAGGGCAGATTTGGCGGGTTCAACCGACCCACACACACATATATATATCCAAACTTAAATTGAGTTTAAAAATCCCCGAGTCCTGTTAAACTATAGATTAATACATGATCTTGCATAGTTGGTAGTTGGTGCTTCAGTCCAATCAAAGCTCTACTAAGAAATTTGAACATTGGGTTTAATTGAACAAGATCACCTAATGATTTTTATTGTTTAAACATATTGGACTTGGGCTAGCCTTGCAGCAAAGCTCGGGTCCCTTGCATTGACTCACACGTGTCAAAGTCCAATCAATTTAAAGTTAGGTATTTATATAAATATCTAATTTTTTTTTTGAATAAAAATAGATAAATAAAATTAAAATTCCAGTGGGGGCAAGTGTCCCCATTGGACCTCACATGCTCCGTCACTTGGTACATAAATAATTTATATTTATTATTAGGTCGAGGCAAGTTTAACTACATATTCGGTCTGCCTTTAATATGATACCTGTTACAATTTTTAATACTATATTCGCCCCTATTCGGTTTATGTAGTTTATTATAGATAATGGTCGAGACAAATTATCACCTTACTACGTTTGGTGTGCAGGAATGAAATAGAATGCAAGTGAGAATGAAATGGCCATTCTCATTCTATTGTTTGGTTGTAAGTATGAAATGTGTAAGAATGTAATGATAATAATTATTTTAGTATTTTGTTGGACCAATTTAAAATTTAGAATGGAATAAATTTCTAATTCAATTCTCCAAATTATCCCTCTTAGTAACAAATAAATTAAATTAACAAAATGAAATTCTCTAATAAATTTTTTAAAAAATAAATGGTGGCAGTGATGGTGGTGGATGGTGGAAAACGGTGGTGGTGTAGGTGGCGGTGTTAGAAGGCGGCGGTGGTGGCAATGGTGGAAATTGGCGGCAGCAGTGGTGGTGGTGGAAGGTGGTAGTAGTGTGGTGGTTATAGTGGAAGGAGATAGTGGTGTGACTATGGTGGTGGTGGAAAGCAGTGGAGGTGGTGGTGGTGATGATGGTGGTGGTGGAAGGCGGTGGAGGTGGTGGAAGTTGGCAGTAGTGGTGATGGAAGGTGGTAGAAGGCGATGGCGGTGGCGGTGGCGAAAGGCGATGGTGGCGGTGGTGGTGGAAGATAGTGAAAGGCAATGTCGGTGGTAGTGGTGGCGGCGGCGGTAGTGGTGGTGAAAGGCGATGGTGGCGGTGGTGGTGGAAGATAGTGAAAGGCAATGTCGGTGGTAGTGGTGGCGGCGGCAGTAGTGGTGGTGAAAGGCGGCGGTGGTGAAAGGCGATAGCGGTGGTGGAAAGTGGTGGGCGATGGTAAAAGTCGACGGTGGTAGTGGTAGTGGTGGTTGTGATACCCCTCGGATCCGAGACACGGGTTGATCAGGCCCAGGCCCAAACCCGAGAGAATATCAAACAATTAAAGTATTTTAAAACGAACACAGATGACAAAAAGAAACAAAAAAAAAAAAAAAAAAAAATAGAATAAAGCTGAAAGAAATAATAATAATAAAATCCTCCATGTGTAACTGAAACTTTAAACTCCAATCCTCTAAAACTTCAAGGTTACAACTTGGGAATCCACTGATGGATCCCTAACCAAAAGTTCAACTGAAACTGAAAACTGAAAATAGATAATGCTAGAAACATCGAGAGAAGTCCTACGTAATTAGATGAAAATGAGACTGTCCTCGACAAGCACGATCAAGCTCTAAGGCTGGAACCGTCCTGTACCTGAAAAGAATAATAAAGGAGTGGGTCAGACCCACGAGCAAGTTCTAATCTAACTGCAATCCATACAGTGACCCGATACGCAGATACACCGTAGACACCTCACAATATCTATCTAGTCCATACGTATAAATATATCCACACTAAGGGACATTCACTAGTCTATAATAGGGGTCTCAACCTGAATAGAAGGCAACATGCGAATACGCACCCAAAGGTGGGCATGAGTACCTAGACCTAACAGGGTACACCTCAACCTATTATAACCAGCTACGCATCCACTGCATATACGCACCCTAACCAACGAGTCTGAGACTCAAGCTCAACTCGTGGTACCATAAACATATATATAAAGTCCGTCCAAATCCAGGGTAAGCAGTTCAACTATTTATTAAACTGACCTACAATAAACCAATTAGTTAGTCACTCAACTTATTCAGTGGATATGACTTAACTACCATCCGTTAATCCAGGAAGTCATCCAACTTGGTTACAGCTGATCTGACTTAGTCACAATTAGGATTCGATATCTTTCAATCCATTCCATTAATCCATTAGGTTAGGTTTATGCGTTTTGAGCTAAACCGTCCCTAGTATGTCACCGTCTCATACCGGTATATACAATCCTCCATATCCAGGTAAATTACAACATATAACAGTTTAATAATTTACAGACCCAAAACCACCATCCAAACAATTGCAGAAAAATATTTAAAGCTTCAGCAATTTAAATCCAAGCATTTAACCATATAGTTGCAGGAGACGATTTAACAAATCAACAACTAACATCCAGAGCATGCATAAACCAAATTTAATATGTCAGGGACTCCATCATGCATGTGAATAGGTTAAATAATCCTATTATTATCTAATAAATTGCTAAAACAATTTCAGAAGATTGTTTAATATTTCGGCAATTTAAATCCAAGCATTAACCATATAGTTGCAGGAAACGATTTAGTAATTCAGCAACTAGCCTCCTAAGCATGCATAGATCAAAATTAATAATTAAATGACCTTATCATGCACTTGAATGCATTCTAAATCAAATTTAAATAACCACGGAAGAAACACACAATTTAAAATAACCAATTAATAGAATCACACGCAATTAAACAATTAAATAAAAAATTAAACAATTAAATAAATGCCGGGACTATCCTTTTAAAATTAGGGGTATTACAGTGGTGAAAGGCGAAAGTGGTTATGGTGGAAGGTAATGGTGGTTTTTGGATTTGGAATATGAGGGTTTTTTGGGAAGTCGATTTTTTTAAAAAAATTACTTGTGAATGGAACGGCCGTTCCATATGTTTAATTGTGAAATGAATTTTCATTTTAATGGAATGACCATTCCCACTTTAAATTGCTTACCAAACAAATGAATGATTAGAATAGATATTCCATTCCAGTCCATTACTGCACACCAAACGTAGTATTAGAGTATACTAGTGTGGCTGCTGGCCAATCCGTCAGTGCACAGATCATTGCGGGGGTGTATTAGACAAAAGCTTATTAGGAAGGTGAAATTTTGGGTTGAGAGCAGATATTGAGTGCGTTGGGCATACTAACTCATTGATACTAAGTCACTGATATACGCGCCAATAAAAACTAATATAACTAGTTAAGAGCGATTTTAAAAATAGGTAGGATTAATTTCCTATAAGGGTCAAGTGTAGAAAACAGCCCTAAAGTATGTTTACAGTGCATATCACACCCCTCACGTGCAAACAAACACCCCTAAAGTTTCAATTTGGTGCAAATAGGCCCATTTGACAAATTTAAATTCTAAGTTGACTAAATTATCCTTACTGAACCATTTTATAAAATCTATAAAAATAAATAATTTTATAAAATGACCGAAAAGGACATTATTGAAGGATGTCTCTCGTGCAAAAAATACCCTTAAAGTTTTAATCTCGTGTAGAAAACACCCCTAAAGTATGTTTACAGTGCATATCACACCCCTCACGTGCAAACAAACACCCCTAAAGTTTTAATTTGGTGC